TGTCATACAACAATAATACTTCTCGAAGAATATGCTGATTTGCCAGAAAACTGAAAGAACTTCCCCAATCTACTAACGTTTTCGATGTTAAATACTAAACGGAACAGAGATCTGTTGCAGGATAACTTGTTGCAATGAAGACTTTGATAGATGTGAAAGAAGCAAGAAAAAATGGCCGATTCGTCTTAGAAAATCGAATTCGATTTTCCAACTATTTAGAAAATCCCTATCGAATTTCAAGAATGTTGGGAATTATTTATAGAAAATCGAAATTGATTTTCTAGAATCTGGAAAATCGAGTCGATTTTCTACAATGTTGGAAATTATTTATAGAAAATCAATCGATTTTCTATCGAGTACTCATACGTACTCATACATTCTTTTACTCACATGCGTACTCATGAGTGAGTAACGAGTACTGTGGGTACGACTTTGAGTATTCATACAACTTTCGGCAAAATACTCATGAGTATTGTTCGTCTGATATTTTCATACAGAGGAGTGATCTCAAGTAGCCAGAGTAGGACTGCAAGTCTATCTCTGACTTTATACAGAGAGATCAGTGAGAAAATAATAATATAAATATTCTGTGTTTCTTCGCTAAATTCTACAGTCTTTATACAGTTTCAGTTTTCCCTCTATAATTAATTACTGCAAGAAATCCGAAGGAAGAACGAGAAAACAAATCCGAAGTGGTCTGCAACTGTAGAGAGCTAAATTGGGATCTACCGACATCGCAAAACTTGGTGTCGCTAGCTCTCTTTCTGTCTTTTGTCAACAAAGTAGTTTCTTCTACCATCACTCGCTTAGAAAACTCAGGTTTTAATTGAACTTCGAAGCTTGATCATTGTTCCGCTAAGTGGAGGTGATGGTATAACTTAGATAGATGAAGTGCAAAATACGGAGAGGTATATAAAATGAAAAAGAGATTTGTTGATATCAGTTCACATGAAAATTGTCATATAACTTAAGTTGCTTCGAATACTGCTAAACAGTAATTGTGCGCACAGTGCTGGGCACGGTTCGGTTTGAAGATTTTTTGAAAAAACTGTTTTCGGTTTGGTTTTAGAAAAACCCAAACCGTGTCAAGCACTAGTTCGCAGGAAAACAATTGTAAATTACTCTGAATATTACTAAAGTGCAATTCTGCGATGCAAAGAGAGTCGTTCAGTCGACTCAGTCAATAAACAGTATTGTTGTTGTTTTGTCAATCTTTCCAGTCAGTTGCTGTTTGAAATTTCGGATTGATAAATATTCGTGCTCCTCCACCACTTATGTTTTTGATACATTCATGAAATGGTACATGTTCACTGACTTCTTTGTCTACTAACCATCCACTATAGTTACATGATTTTAAATATTTTGATTGATAAATTGCTGCACCACCGAACGCTGAATTAACTTCAATGAGATGAGGATAGTCAAGTGGAATTGGACGTTTATATGGCGTTACAAAATTATCCCATGCTGGCCAGAATGTCCAATTTGCTTTATATCGATTAACCATGTCTAAAGCATCATGATTCACTAATTTTGATCTTAACGGCCATATATCGTAGTAATCATAGGTCTGTGTAGCTGTGAAAGCAGCCCATTCATTTCGGTCATACATAAAATTCGACAGAAAATTCTCTCTGGTAAATACACTCAGATCGGAAGCTTGAGAAGGATCGCAGACGAAAAAATACTGAGATTTAGATAATTCAAATTCTGTACGTGCTGCATTTAACAATGTATTGCGACAGTGAGCAATACGCATCGTTCTACTTGTTATATTTTTCTCTACTGCTGTTAAATTACCAAGTGCAAATAAATGTACATTGCTAGCAGTATCGTTCAGCGCCCACCGACGCAGTTTTTCTAATGTATTATCCTTTGAATCCGATTCACCTAAGAGAACAGTATATCTTCCAAAATAATGTGTGATCATGTTTACAACGCTCTGCAAGCCTTCAATATTACGAGCTTCGTTATGAGCACACGCTGCTATGATCACATAGGATTGTTTCAACTCTGTTAGTAGGACACTGATGTTGAGTGTAGAACGAGGTTTTGGTAACGTTTCTAGATCAATGCCATAATTCCAAAATGATACATCGTTGTGGTTCGACACTACTTGAATGGTAGTGGTGGTGGTAGTAAGAATTGATAAAGAAACTGGCTTCTTATTTTCACCAGCAGCAGCGCTGTCACCGCCGTCGTTGTATTTGACAGTGCGAATGTAAATTGGTGTTATGATTCCAGCATTGATTACGATGAATGCAATGAACAAAAGTTTTAAAATATATCGTTTGGAATTCCTGTTCATTTGGTTGTAGGAAGTACTTTTTTTAGAACTAGTACTTTACGAAACTGAATTTTCTACCTGACTGGAAAAGAGAAAAGAAGAAAGAGCTAACAGGCTCGGTTGCATTCGTTTTATTAGTTTTAATTTCAAAATACTTTCCAGTTTGCGAATCTTATACACCCTCCTGCGCACACCTATACTCTCTATGGTGTAAACACCAATACGAGATGTGAAGAAGAACCACTATCAACGAGTGCAATTTTTATTCCGATGGCATCGACCATTTCGAAAATCGGGAAATCGACTCATTTCGGCGATTATGACCGTCTCCGAGCCTTATTTGTGATAGGAGACAACTCAGATCCACTTGTTAAACTAGTGTGCTCGCCAAACCCCGATAAGTATGTTCGCATTCTCAAGGCAGGTGGTATTTATGCTCGTCCATGTTATTAGACCTGGGTGGGAGTTCTAACTGCTCAGTTTTGTATGCTATGTCTGATTACTAAATAGATATTGCCAACTCAAGTGTCATTAAGCTGATATCGAGAGTCAGCAAGCCTCGGCTCCAAGAGAAAGTGCCACAACGTACTTATCAAGAATTTATTTTATTTTTGCTCTCATTTCTCTCTCTCTTGGGCCTTTTTCTTTTCAAAATTCGTAACTAAGCGCCTATTTCTTAGCAGAAGACTGATAGTCGGGCTTATACAGGGCAGACTTAACAGGCATCATATATTGTTGATCAAGTCGAAAAAGTGATCCAGCAGAGCACTAAGGCTTTGGGGTTTTCAGAAGGTTTCTGGAAAACCTGAAACCAATGCCCAGCTGATATTTACCTTTTTCGTCTTTGATTAAGATTTATGAGCTGTTCTGAGCGTTCCTTGAAAATTTCGTTGAGTCAGCATGAGATTTGATCGATATATAAGGATTTTAATTTTTACTAGTAACAGGCGAAAAACCGATTTTTTATAAAAATGCCTCTGACGAAGTTATTTTTATTCCTACACAAAAACAAATGTTACCACTATGCACAAATACTTTCTGCATATCTTTTTTATAAATTTAGTAAAGTGGCTCCCATTGTTTTGAATTTCTTCACCAAGAGATTTTCGCTAAACTTTTCAAAACCAGGTCAGTCAATAGAGAATTGAATTGTCTACAAAATGGCTCATTCACTTTTGAGTTCTGAATTTTTGAAAACTTTCTGCAGATAAAATAAAATCACCAAAAAACGTTAAGGCATTATAGTTAGCTGGACAGACCGTAGTATCACGAACGAACTTGAATATACGCAATGTCACTTTTACAATTTTATAATTTATTGAAAATAGAACTTTGTAGAAGTATACATCTAATTAATTTCATACATAGAATTTTATGAGCCTGATTCTTTTAGGGCTCTCTGCTGACGCAATCTGCTATCCTGTGGGACCACCCATCCCATCTGAATCAGTATGGAGTCCTTAATTCCACGCTTCCCTAAGTTCATCTACACAAATCTTTTTTATAAAACCTTCATTGATCTGTAGTTGAGAAAAAAGAAATAGAAGGAAACTGATATTAAAACTAACATGTTTACTCTTTTTTCTGATTCCCATTACATTTACACAAATAAAACTTGGAAAAAAACCACGTAACAGTATAGTTTGAAAGCAGACGATGTCTTTTAGTTCCATTATTTTTTAAAAAACGTAGTAAAAATGCTTCAAATAGCGATAAAAGCTCTTCGAATAAAAGGACTATTGTGTCCGATGCTTGCGAATCTTACCGCGCACCTATAGTGCTGCTCAACGTCTTACTTAGTTGTTACGTGCTGCAATTGATATTATTGCCAAAAAGGCACAGACGAAATGCTTGAATCACTTTTAATCGATTCAATAGTTGATGGTGTTGAGGGTAGATCATTGTCAATAGTGATACTGCCACACTAGATCGATGGTTTCATGTGTTTATTATTAACATAATAATTGAATGTTTCAGATATAGCGAAGATGGACAGAAAAAACAGCGTAGCCAATTTAAGAATAAACATTCTGATTATAGCTAACCAGACCAGAAGAGATTCAGAATCACTAAGCGCTGTTTGGAGAAACTCTACAGGCTCTGTTATACAGTTGCACAGATTTTGAACTAATACTTTTAGATATAACTAAATCGATTTTATCCTATACTCTTAAGAGAGGCTTCACTAGTCAGTCAAGCATTGCTTCCGAAGGCAGTGGAATGGTCGAAATTAACATATATTTTTTTTGATATTTTTGGATTCTACGATCAAAAGTGGAGTTATGAAACATTTTTAGTCTTTTTGGACTTAATTTGACCGAGTTATGGCATTTACAAAATGGTCGGTGTCCGAGAATCTTGAAAAAGCATCCTCGCAGGCGCATCTAGTGGTGTGCCTTTCAATTAATTTACAGAACTTTCAGTTCTAGACATTTTTTTCAATTTTTTTAATTTGCATTTTTGACCGAAAACTGAAAGTACTCTAAATTAATTGAAAGGCACATCACTAGATGTAGCTTTTGACGCTGATTCCGAATATCACTTTATTTTCCATTTTTAATTAGATTTAGGCTGAGAAAATTCGAAAAACTAGAAAAAGTTGGAAAAATCACCTCCACTGGGCGGTCTTGCTTCCCAAATTTCGCCATGTTCTGAAACTTTTTTTTCCAAATTATTTAATGCATCTTATACAGGATCAGACGCTCTATAAAATGCACGATAAGAGAATCTAGTCAGCAATCTTTTTATGATTCAAAATTGACTTTTGATCAAAACTAAAGTTATATCATGTCTTAAAAACTGGAAAATTTCAGAAAACCCAATTTTTTTCTAGGAAAACTCAACAGCAGAACAGAATTAAATCAACTGTTTTCTTTAGTTTTTATCAGGTTTTTGAATGTGCTGCTGCTCAAACAGAACGGATGAGAAATGATGAAGTTATAGCGAAAATAGTAAAGCGGATGCTTTTTCAAGATTCTCGGACACCGACCGTTTTGTAAATGCCATAACTCGGTCAAATTAAGTCCAAAGAGACTAAAAATTTTTCATAACTCTACTTTTGATCGTAGAATCCAAAAATATTAAAAAAAATATACGTTAATCTCGCCCACTCCACTAGGATTCTCGATGGGCTCGTAAAGTCTCTCTTAAGATAGCCGTTTTCGTCGTAAAAAGAACGGAAATATTTTGGCAAAAACGATTGAGTACTAGCAGAAAGATTGCAGTAATAGTGACGTTTGTATTAAGGTAAGCGTTCGATGACGAATCCGAAGAGGTAAGTGATTTTAATGAATGGAATGCTGGCAACTGGGTAGTGGCGGCGCCAGGATTTTGCTCTGGGAACACCTATTTTGGGAACACTGAAAAAATTTCAGCACTGAAAAAAATTTTCAGGGTGGGCTTAACTTCCTTTCGGGTGGGCTTAACTTCCTTTCGGGTGGGCTCAGCCCACCCCTGGCGCCGCCACTATAACTGGGTAACTTGAGCAGGACGACAAACTGCTTCATTATTGGTCATAGTTGAATAAAGCCCCAACGTGCTGCGTGTGGGATGTTCTCACGCTGGATGAAATTAAACTAGGCATTAAATACATTTTAAGTTTTTTGTTTTTACACAGTTTAGGATTTTGAAAATAAGTCCTGTGAATAATAGTGTTCGAACATGTGTAATTATGGGCGTTCAAACAATAATAAAGAATATTATCCTTACAAGAAATAATTTTAATGGTGTTTAAAAAACGGATCGAATCATTTTAAGTTTGAAGCCAAAAGCTTCTTGCAACCTACACGGATGTCAGTATTAAACAAAAGAGTAATTTGAGACAGTGAAGTTATGAATCGTTTGGATCATTTGTAGTCACTTTCCGGCGTGCCCTCAAAATAGAAGGTTTGAATTTCTCAGTGAAATGCACTGTCATCAGATGCGAAACACACAGATAGTATACAGAAATGCTCATATCTTTCTTCCACACGGTCTGACAGAGTTAGAGAACGTCTTACAAAAACTACTTTCAATACACATAATTATTTTAAAGAATTCATTCATGAATAATTTGTCAGAAATAGAGGAAACCAGATTCACCCTTCAGCATGACAGTCTGCGCCATAGTCACTATCAATTTATTTTTTCGCTGTTTCCTTGCACGGGCGGAACTCACCGATCATTTTTTGCTGAAAATAAGAAATTTGGCCTAAACTCAAGATTTCTGCTCACGAGACTTTTTCTGATACTTCTAATAGGTATCTTTGTATCTGAAAAGCGTTAATACGTGTGATGGAGTTAGCCCAGTCTTAAAGTCTGTGAACATATTGAACGGAAGAAAAACTTTTCAATGCATTGGAGTGCGTTAAATAAATTTCATGCATTTGAATGCATTAACTTCTAATGCGTGTGAACGCATCAGATTAATCTGAATATATGCAAATGCATTAAATCGACGAAAACTCTTTATTATAGTCTTTATTATTATCTTTATTCGTCTATCTAAATAAACTATTGACGTAGAATAATGGCTGTAAAAAAAACTCGCATGAGTATTGCTTTTCTGCATTGAAAACAATCTGCAGGTCCGTACAGGTCCGCCCAGTATTACATGAACTAAAAGCCGGGAAGGTTTGACTATATGCAATCGATAGTCCTAATAAAGGCGTGTAAAGGTCCATGTCGGCCCATGGAAAAATTATTCCGAACACGGTTTTCCCTCGGCCATAATTTCTGAACAGAAGCGTTTTTAGGGGTGCCAGAACAGCGAAATCCGACCTCACCCTAATACTAACAAGCGTTCTCGTACTGCTAGCTGGAAAGAGCATACAAAGTTGCATATTTGTATCCACAAATTAGATTTTCCCCTCTGACATCCGGAAAGCATTTTTGACTGGAGGACCTTATCTGCATTAGCAGATATCACCCGTTTTATAGCGCGTTGGACGAGCTCAAAACTTAACAAAACATAACTTTGTTTATTTTCAAATGAAAGCGGCTTCCAAGTTTGTTCGTATGACCCAATAATCAAGTTTCTAGCA